CAAATAACAGATTTTTATTCTAGACGCTTTCCTAAAATTTTTGAAAATTCAAAACCATCGTGCCCCTCCCACATACGCAATGGCCCGAAAGCCAGACCTTTCGAACCAGCTGGACCTCCTGCCGACGCCGCTCCAGGAAGGCCCTGCCGAAGCGGACCCTGGTCTACCCCGCCGGCCTGAGCTCACCTGGTCACTTGTCATGGACTGGATCGTGGACTCTGAAGGTGAGAGGGGGGCCCCTGCTGATACCCATCGCCCTGTGTCAGGCTGCTGGTGGAATGAGCGCGAGGAAGACATAGCAAAGCCGTAGAAGACAGACGAGGGAGCTCCCGCGCGCCGCCCCATAGAAAACCTGATTAAATACCCAGGATTGGACCCGCTTCAATGTCAGAGGTTTTGGAGTTTTGTATACCAGTGGATGGAGTGAGTTCTAGGTCTTTGGAGTGATTAAATGCCACCTCCTACAGAGGGCACCTCCGGAAACAGGCCAAGTGGTAAGCTACCCAAAAGGTCAGACCCTGACAACTTGTACTTGGCCTTGTAACACCTAATAACTGACAACAATGTAATGTGATGATGGATGGAGAGTGAGATTGTTAACAATACCAGATTGCTTGATTCCATATTCAACACTCTTGGCACCAGAACTCAGAAAATCAAAAGACAAATTGTATTAGGAAAGAAAATATGCTGTCAGAGACCTCTTCAGAGTGCTAAAGAGCAACAGTGTCAGTCTGGAGACTAAGGTGTGCCTGATCGTGGCCATGATCTTTGCAATTACTTGCTACACATCAGAGAGCTGGACAATGACTTAAGTATGAGGAAGAATCTATACCTTTGAGTTGTAGTGCTGGAGAAGAGTGCTGAGCATTCCATTGGCTGCCAAGAGAACAAACAGGCTTGTCCTAAAGAGGATAAAACTTATTTGCTCCTTTTATTTGCTCCTTAGAGGTGAAGATTGGGAAACTCTATCTTCTATGATTTGGGCATGTTGCCAAGAGGGACCAGTCCTTGGAGAAGGACATCATACTCAGAAGGGTGGAGGGACAGTACAGTAGAGGAAGACCCTGGATCAGATGGATTGACACAGTAACTTGATAACGGGGCAAGTTTGTCGGAGACAGAGAAACTGGCTCACGATAGGGCAGGGTTGTGCATAAGGTCACTATGAGTCATAGGCAACTTGATGGCACTTAACAACAATAATATGATGTAATTACATCTCATAATGTAATTGACTGAAGCTGGGTTCTCTAGAGAAGCAAAATCAGTTCATTACAAATGATTACATATTTGTATGGGAAGGAGATCTGGTGGCTTCATGGTAAGGAGTTGTTCTACCAACACAGAAACATGTAGTTCAAGTCCACTCTCGGGAGAGGGGAGGCTAATCTTCCTGTGACTTAATGCCTCTGACAATCTGCTTAAGGGTAAGCTATGGTTTGGTTCCACCTCAACGGTACTCAACAACAACACATGCACAACAGGAAGTTCTGCTGGCCTAGTGTGTAAGATGTGCTGCTACCAACCCAAAGAGATATTGTCTAAGTCACGATCTTGGAGAGGCTGGGGAGTCCAAGGTCCACGAATCAGCCTCGGGTGAGAGTATCGTGCAGGCACTGAGAAATCCAAGGTCCAGAGCTACAGACTAGGCTTCTGAGGCTGTCGAATCCAGGGCTGGCAAGCAAGACAGGACACTGGTCAAGTGTGGAGGTGGCAAGCTAGACAGAGGCTCCAAAAGGGCAGGCAGTGGGCTGTCTTCGCTAGAGCCCATACCAGCTTTTAATGCAGGCCACACCTCTGGGAGCCTTCCCGTGCTCAGTTCATCACAGAACTAGTTCGGATCCTGCCTCATTAACTTCACGGAAGTTAGGATTTCCAATGTGTGGGAAAATTCTATCGTTCTGAGAATCACGGCCTTGTTGGCACATAGTATTATCCATCACGTTATTCAGCTGAGGTAACTGCTGTCTCAAATGACTTCTAAACCGAATCACTTGTGTGTCCCATAAAGTACAAGCAGGTGTTTGCTGGAGAAGACAGCCCAGGACTGTGAGGAGTCGACGTGGCTGAGGACTGGATTTTAGACTGCAGACCCACTGTCGGCGGCCCACTGGTGGTGTTTCCCTTGCAGCAGTCCTAGAGAACCGAGACAGCATTTGGACCTTTTCTGGCGAGGCTGTCACTGGCCTGTGCTTCCCTCTGAGCCTCAGCCGGTCGCCTGTGCCGGGCAGGCCTCAGGGAGCAGGTGAGTCTCCATCCCCAACCAGGACAGGACTGGGCTGGAGGCAGCAGAACCATCAGTTAATGAGTCCTCTCAATTACTTTCCCCTCTAGTCACTCAACACCATTTTGAATTGAACTTTAAATTTCAAAAGCTGGATCATGGCTCGTTGAAGGCAAGGGCCATGTAGAGGAGGGGGCCACCCCTCATTCTTGCTTTTGAGTCCATTCTGTGTCCTCTAAAGTGCTCAGAAAAAGAGCCACACCCATTCGCTACATACTTGGGGTCACCCTGACTGCCCTCAATCTTCTTTTCCAAAACAAGTGTAGCATCTTCAGTTATTTGGTTCGGTGTGTAAGTGACTGTGCCAAGGCCAGCTGTGCAGCACGAAGTCGATTTGTTCCAGGTCTTGGGAACATTTTGCTTCAGGACACACCTGCCTCAACCGGAGCGCACTGAGGCCAAAGCTGCAGTGACCATTGCAGCGAGAGCACCACTGCACTTCCACAAGCAGGTGTGCTCAGCCACCTCTGTCCAGTATGCCCACCACAGCTGAGGCCATATCCTTATCAACACCTGGTGTCATTGGGCTTCTGGCATGTTGCGAATTGAGTGAAAATGGTATCTTATTGTGGATAAATCTAATTGCTGGCAAAAGTAGCCTTTTGAAATGCTTTCATTGGTCATTTTTTCCCCCTGTGAGTTTTTGGCTCATCCATTGCTGCTGTCAGAGACATCTCCAGAGTATTGAAGAGCAACAATGTCAACCTAGAGACCTGATCTAGGACATGGTCTCTACAATTACTTGCTGTGCATCAGAGAGCTGGACAATGACTAGGGATGATAGAAGGAGAATTGATGCCTTTGAGCTGTGGTGCTGGAGTACTGAGTGTACCACGGACTGCTAGGAGAACAAACAGGTTAGTGCTGGAGAGGGTGAAATCAGGCTGCTCCCTGGAAGCAAGGATTCTGAAGCTCTGTCTGAAACACGTTGGCCATGTTGCAAGGAGGGACCAGTTCTTGAAGTGGGCATGCTTGGGAGGGTGAAGAAACAGCACAAGAGAGGAAGACCCTGGATGAGACGGATTGAGTCAGTGACTGGATAACGGGGGTGGGTGAGAGATGATGATGTTGGCTCAGGATAGAGACAGGTTCAGAGCTGTTTTACATAGGGTCTATGAGTCCCAAGCAACTCAACAGCAATAACAAACAACATCTGTTATCTCAGCCTTTTTCTTACTGACTTGCAGGAGTCCTTTGTATACATTCTGGCTATTAACTTTTCTTTGGATCTGTGAATTGCCCACATCTTCTTTCATTTTTGGCTTAATTTAAAATTCCTTTCATGGTCTTAAAGAAATTCTTTTAATATAACAAACGTATCCATTTGTTTATGGTCAATACTTTTATATTTTAAGAACTCCTCTTTTAGCTAAAAGACAAGATCTATTCATATTTCCTTCTGACAATTTATATAGAAGAATTCTTATTGATGCAAAGCATGCATCTTAGAGAATGTACACAGATCAATGCCTCCTTTTCAAAAGCAAGTGCGCCTCATTTGTCCTGGGAAGCCCTTCTCGCACTGTCACCACTCTAGAGGCAAAGCCTGGTTTCTGCGGTCGTCTGGGTGGCCAGCCCTCCTGGCCCAGCCCTGCTCTGTTTGGCTGGGGGTGGACTGACCCCATGGATCCATCTCCTGAACGTGCTCCATCAGTTACTAGACTCTAAAAGAACAGATGCTGTTTGTGAGCCGTGGAGCTCTGTGGTGGGCAGCAGTGCAGCAAACAGTGGGGAGAGAAGCCCTGGCCCTGCTCTTCGTAGATTACTGAGCTCCTACGAGTGACGGGAACCGAGCTGATGCAGCACACAGGCTCTGCCCTTAGAGGGCATATTTCAACAAACAGATGCTGCTCTGAGCATACCCACCAGGTTGTGCCAAGAAAGCTGGAAGACAACTACCTGACCAACGGACTGGAAGAGATCCATATTTATTCCCATTCCAAAAAAAAGGTGACCCGACAGAGTGTGGAAATTATCATATATTT